GCATGGAGTGGAGACCCAAAACCCATGTGTAGACAATTGGACATCCCCTCACAGAAGGGTCATAAGGAAGAGATGAGCCAGTCAGGGTGCAGTATAGCACCGATTAAATACAACTTTCCTCTAGTTTTTTAATGCTTTCTTCTCCCCACTATCATGACCTCAATTCTACCTTACAAATCGGATTAAACCAGAACATGCACATTGCTACGGATAAGAGTCCGCAAACAGGGAATCCAGGATAGATAAACTCCTCAGGGCCAGCAATGAGAATAGAGGTAACAGGAGGATTAGGGTAAGGTAGGAGGTAAAAGGGGGAATCGATCACAAGGATAAAGATATAACCCCCTCCCAGGGGGACAAACTATGGAAAAGTATGTGAAAGGTGACAGAGGACGATGTAAGATATGAAAATAATAATCTATGGGTTCAGGAGAGAGGGCAGGTGGGGGAAGGAGGGGGAAAATAAAGAGCTGATATCAAGGGCTCAAGTAGAAAGAAAATGCTTTGAAAATTATGGTGGCAGATACATGCAAATGTTCTTGACACAATGGATAGATGGATGGATGGATTGGGGTATGAGATGTACGAGCCCCCAGTTAAAGTATTTAATCAAAAAATAACAAATGTTAGTGAGGAAGTTGGGGAAATTGAAACCCTTTGATGGAATGCAAAGTAGTTGTAGCCATTGTAGAAAACAATATGATCATCCTTAAAAAAAAACTAAACTGAAAATAGAACTCGCATATGATTCAACAATTGCATACCTAGATACATACCCCCAAAGGTTTGAAATCAGAGACTTGAATAATCGATGTTCATTGTACTATTATTCACAATAGTCAAAAGTGGAAACAATTTAAATGCCCATTACAGATGAATAGTACCTATGTACAATGAGATAGTTAGTACTCAGCCCATAATAGAAATAATTTCTTAATACATGCTACATATAGTTGGGTCTGGAAGACAGGCTGTGTGAGCTAAATCACTCAGTCAATCACAAGAGGACAAATATTGTCTGATCCCACTAATATAAGAAAGACTTAAAAAGGCAATCAACGTTTATTAGTGGTTGCCAGGGGTAAGATGGAGGGGGAGAGGAACGTTAAAGGTACTGGAAATACAACATTGATTAAGGATCAGGTTGCCAAGTTGATCATTGTAATTGCTGTCAATAAATTGTACACCTGCAAAAATTGTATTGATTAAAATATTTACAGCAATAACAGAAAGTATAAAACGTAGCTGATGAGGCTGCTTATGTGCAATCAGACATTTCATAGGGTTTGGTCTCTGGGTTTGGAGGGTTCGGGCCATGGTTTCTCAGGACACCCCAGCTAATTAGCCTTGTATGTGTTTAGCGTATCTCTTCACGAGGTGTTGAGATGAAATACACCCATATATAATTATGGGTGTCTTCTAATTTGTTGGTGGAGCCTGGAGTTTTAAAAGCTTGAAATCGGCCATGTAAGGCACAATCGGTCTGTTTTCCTGCATCAACCGAGGAGAAAAAAAAAGGGACAGGTGAAGGACATGGAATGTGTGGCTAATTGCCTACATGAACAGCTGCCATCTTTACCCTGATATCAAAAGAACTGGATGATATCCAGCTACTATTACTGTACATTTTGATTAAAAATTCTTTATAAGCACCCCGATCAAAAGAGGGAAATGCATCACATCACGGAATTCCAAATTCTCATGGAATTCAAACCTTCTGGAGCTATGAAGGGTAAAACTGTTGCCCTAAGACAATCTTTAAACCTGGTGCCAAAAACATCCTAGTGGAGTCTTAAATAATAGGTGAGCATAAACAATAATACAAAAATGTCTTTTGTGCATTATACTCTTATGAGAACTATTTGTATGAGATCAAAAAGAGTCCTCCTAGCACTGGATGGCTAACTGCTAGGTCAGCAGTTCAAACCATCAGCCTGTCTTTGGAAGAAAGATTGTGTGTTCTCCATGAGGATGTACAGGTTCGGAACATCATATGGAGCTGGTGAGTTAGAATGGATTCAATGGTATTGGTTTATTATTAGGTATACAATCGTGAAGAAAGAATGTGATTTAACAAACCAGCCCGGGACGATTAGAGTGGACATTCCCTGTAGTGGTGCTCCCCAACCCTCTCAATAAAACCTAAAAAACTCCCTCCTGCCCTTCCACCCCCCAAAAAAAGAAAGATGATGAAAATGCTTGCCTTGGTTCAATCTCAGAATATTACTATTTAAGTTGAAACAAATGTAAATTCACATGCAGTTGTAAATAATGGGAAAAACCCTTGTATACTTTGCCGTTCTCCCAATGGTAACATTTTGCAGAACTGTGGTACAATATGACAACTGTAATTTGACATTGACACAGTTCATCAGTTTTATTCAAATTGTACTCATTCGTGTGTATGCCTTTTAAGCTCTATGCACTTTTACCACCTGTCTTAGAGACTGTAGAAGGTCACTGCGTCAGGGTGGCGGGAAGTATATGGGTCAGAGTGGCACCAGCATCTGAGCAGAACTGTAGGGCAGTCCTGGTGAAGGGATAACTTGTGAACGTGTACGTGAACGTGTACTCGGTGGCACTGAACGGTACAGGGAGAAACGGTTGAACTGGGACATGATATGCTGTGTATATTCTCAATAATTACAATAAATAAAAATTTTGAAAGGAAGAAATCTTAATGGCAATGAGAAACATTAACATGTTTTGCCTAAAAAATAGTTTTACTTGTTTACAGTGTTAAACTGATACTCAAAAGTGAAGTCAAACATTTTTGAAAAATAACAGTAAATGTGCTTATATTAGCAGGAAAACTAAGCAAGATACATTTGACTTAGGCACTTTTCTGGTAATATTCTACAGCTAGAAATTAGCAATCTGGAAAAAACCCGAGCGATAATGGCTGAAGAGCTAGTTAAGTTAACAAATCAAAATGATGACCTTGAAGAGAAAGTGAAGGAGATACCCAAACTTCGAACTCAGCTAAGAGTAAGTGTTCCTCACTCAGAAGTGAGTGTAAAATATTGTAAATTTTGTTAGGTAAATGCCATGTTTTTATTTACTAAAAGTAAGTTTTTAATGATTTCTTTGAAAATCAGTGTGTTAATATTTATACTGATAGGAGCCATGTGGAGCTGTCCATTGCTTGGCTGCTAGCCCCCAAAATGGGCTGTTTAAAGTAACTAGAGTTTTAATGTATGATTAAAGAGCTTTTAGGATAAGTCTTTTTATTTTTCTTATCACATTGATCATTCTAAGTGAAGTGCTTGTCACATAAAAGCATTAGAGATCGACTCTCTCACT